ACGCGTTTGGTGGATCATGCTTATAAAACGTATTTCACCGATCAGACCTATTATAAGGTCAGCAACATGGACGGGAGGCTGGCGAACCCGGACCAGTCTCTAACCGAGGATGTGATGATGTTCTCGCAGTCCATTGCGCATCTGTACTCAAACCTCACCAAACCCATCCTGGACGTGATACTGACTTCATATACCTTAATACAGACTGCGAGATCTCGGGGTGCGAACGCAACCGGACCCACTCTCTTAGCGGGTCTGGTGGTGTTCGCCACGGCGAAGGTTCTGCGCGCCTGCTCGCCGAGGTTCGGTAAGCTGGTGGCGGAGGAGGCGCACAGGAAGGGCTATTTGCGTTATGTGCACTCCAGAATCATAGCCAATGCAGAGGAGATCGCTTTCTACAGGGGACATACGGTGAGGAAATGCATAATGCACACGGGCAGATATAACAATCAATATAACATTAATAAATGCTCTGTATGGTGGGGCATAAGGCGAGGAAATGCATCACTCATATGTAGTGTAAACGTAATTGCTTATTAAATTACAGAGGACTTTTATAATGGGCATAAGGTGTCACTGTACACGTGCATAGATATATACATAGGCCCACATTTAAAAATGTTCCATAACTAGCCATTTACTTTTTGAAGTCTCTCAATGGTTGGTATATTTAAACTGTTCTCATGTGGCAGGTGGAGATGAGGCAGCTGCAGAAGTGTTATAGTGCCCTGGCGGAGCAGATGAACCTCATTCTGTCAAAACGTCTGTGGTACATCATGATTGAACAGTTCCTCATGAAGTACGTCTGGAGTGGCAGTGGTCTGGTTATGGTGGCAGTGCCCATTATCACTGCCACTGGCTTTGCTGACAACGGTACGGTGGAAGTGACAAAGACGTTTGGGCACGGAGGTGAAAAAAACAGCATTTCAGGCAGTCCCGCACCGGACGAGAAGCGCAGCGTGGCGTCGCGCCACATCTTTAAAATTCAAATACATTATTTTCTATGAGTGTAGGCACACCGGCGGTGCCGTTCGGCATCTGTCCGCGGCGCCCAGCTACGTCGTGTTGTACTTGTAAGAATTGTTCTAGACATGCCGAAAATTTGACGCTAAGCACAGCAGCTCTTCTTCTTTGTTTTCTCTGATGCACTAACTCTGCAGCAGCACTTCTTTGTCGTCATCTCGTCTGATGCACTCACTCAACCAAGCGTTCTAACAACGAGCTCGCCCCTCCCCACCCCCCAACCATTCGAATTTCTGTAGGCGGGAATTATTTTTAATGATATTCTAATGAGCCGCTTTGTGATATCACAAAGCCCGGAAAACAAACGCTGTAGTCCAAACGAGCCGTTCGTTGTAGTTCTTGAAAAGGGTAAATAAAAAAATGAAATATCTCCCTTTGGAGTGGACTTTGAGATTTGTAACTTTCTAGATCTTGTTTATGCCCAAACATACACACTACACACTGACTAAAATAAAAAAAAGTGAAAAAGCATAATAGGACCCCTTTAATTAACTATATATACAATCTCATTGCAATTTCTGTGTTGAGGCTAATTTTTAATGACGTTGCAGTGCTTCAATTTCAGAAATATAGGTCATGTAAGAATAGTACTTATATAAAGATGTCATGTTTCATATTCATTTGTTTCTTAAAGAGCTGGCTGATGGTCAGACGCAAGTGTTGGTGAGTGAAAGAACAGAGGCCTTTACAACAGCTCGCAATCTGCTGGCCTCAGGGGCGGATGCCATTGAAAGGATCATGTCTTCTTATAAAGAGGTAAAATATTAAACATGCTTCTTTGTTGACATTTTCCACAATTATTTCCTTTTTACATAAAAGGAAATAAATGCTAGTTTAAGACATATATAAACTGTATGTATTTTGAAAGAAGACTCTTATGCTCCCCAAGGTTGTTCTTATTTGATCAAAAATACAGTAAAAACTGTAATGTTGTGAAATTTAAAATTTAATTTAAAAGAACAGTTTCAAAAGTTGCATTTTCAGCAGCATTAACAGTGTTGGGCGTAATGCATTACTAAGTAATTCATTACTGTAATTTGATTATTTTAACCTTTGAAAAAGTAAAGTAAGAGATAAATTTTAATTTTTCTGTAATTTAATTACAGTTAATTCTAATGTAATTGCATTAAATACTGTATAGACTGTAGAGCAATTCTATATAAAACAATAGCGGATTTAACATCAAACATCTAAAACATTGAACATCTAATGTTAAAATGTAATTTCAATAATAATTTATGCAATTTTATATTATTTATTTGAAAGAATTAAAAGAGCAGTTTCATGTCTATCCTTGTATGGTTCAACTGGTCGAGGTTAATAATAAGTTAGTAATAAGTAATGCAATACTTTTTAGAGAGCGAGTGATTAGTATAGCAATCTAATTACACAGTTAAAGGTACAATATGTAATATTTTTTGTAATAAAATATCCAAAAACCACTTGCACAGTGTTATATATTTCATGCAGTTGTGTACTTACGTTATCTCAAAAGTTCCCAAGGATTTGTAAATCCAGAGAAATTCCAGTTTTAAATAATAATAATTAAATAATGACTCATTCCTGGTCATTGTCGCCTATCAATGACGCAATATCCGCGCTATCCTCGGTTTCCGCTTATGAATACTGCGGCAACACACGTGGAGAAATGCGGATGTGTTAGTTATACCGCATGCAGCACGTCACTGTTGTGCATTTACGTTATCATGGATCACGATTACACTTTGGAAAGTACGGAAAATCCCAAAAAAACGGAGACATACACCAACTGAGGCAAGAAGGCATTGGGACAAACAGAAATAAAACTAGAATAAATATCGTACTTCAGTACGTTAACGGTTTTTATCAAGTCTGGTGAGCAAATCTATGGTAATGTAATTAAATACATTGTAATTAAAAGTAAAAGTGAAAGTAAAAAGTAAAAATACAGTATGTGCTGCACAAAAACATTTAGCCATACTTGCAAATACGGTGCGTTCGTTCAAATTTACTTTTAGAACGACTGTTTTACACACGTAAAAATGCGCATCATTAACCCGCCAAATCATGACAAATAGTCACATATCAGTAAAAGGCTAATATAGAATCAAATTTCATGTTCTTTGCAGATAATCCATTACGATGACATAAAATACTGTTATCAAATGTACAGGTAAGTTAATAAAAAAAAGTAATACATTAACTCATCCGTGAAAATTATTTGTGAAAACGACATCTCCCATCGTTCCATGCTCCGTCATTGCGTCATCGAGCTTCGCCTCTGTTGTTGTTTTGAAAATGCGACCTCTAGCGGCGAAAACTTACATATTTTAAAGATGTAATTAGTAGCTAGAGCTTTTTAGAGTAACCCAACACAGCCCACTGTAATGACAAAAATTACATTTTTCTTGAAAGCAGTACTACAGCAGGGGCCAGATCACCGCTACAGGAACTGAAACCACAAAGGATGTGATGTCATGCAGCAGTGAAAGCTGGGAATCTTTAGAGTAGGTAGTGATCAGTGTTGATATCAACTGCCACTCTGTTGACTAAGCCTTCTGGGCAACTTAATCCACCATCTGTTGAACAGAGAGCATCAGTCAGCCCCGCTTCACAGATGCTGCGTGTGTCCATGACAAAGTTAGATACTATAAAGCACGACAACACTCTATTTCAGACATTTTAAGTAGAAGTCATATACACCTAGGATGCCTCGGGGGTGAGTAAAACGCAGCCTAATATTCATTTTTGGGTGAACTAACCCTTTAATACTTTTTTTCATTTTAGTTTAGTAATTGTGCTTTTGTCTATTTATTAGGGTTTTTTTTTAGATTTGTATTTAGCTTTAATTTATTTTATTTGATTTTAGGGTAACACTTTACAATAAGGTCCCTTTAGGTAACGTTAATTAATGCGCTAATGCATTTTGATCTTCTGGTTAAATGACAGACTTTCTCTACTGTGACATACGTCAGACTTCTTCAATCATCCTCAAAAACTCTGCCCCTTTCTTAAAATTGACTGCAAGCTTGCATTCAGATCTGCCTCCATCCAGTCGACAACCAATGAGTGGAACCAATTCTCTGCCCTACATTTTGGGCCTGTCCAAATACCTGCACTTGTGGCCTTGGCCACTTGAGAGCATGTGTACGCAACAGGAAGTAAGTGTGCAAGACTGTCCCAGATCTTAAAAATGCCAAAGTGCAGTGCCTTTAATGCACACTAATTCCACTTCGGAGCGGTATTCGAGACTAAGCATATCCCATCATGCATCACTTTTGCCGAGATGTCGCGGAAACCTTTCCAGTGCACGTTAAATATCAATAACAATTAGATATTACATATAATTTGGTAGTTAAATGTAAAATGTTGCACATTTTATTGGTCCAGACTGCAAAGATATGTATTTTGTTAAACGTGTGCAACTGCTCTTTTTCACTTAATTAGAAACACCACGATATAATTAAATTGTGTTATACATAGGGACTTCTGAGTAGACATTTAGAAGTTTATTTTAAAATGCAAATCAAAATAAAACTCTGTAAACACTTGCATCCCATCGGGTAATGAAAAGTTCTACACACACTTGTGGTCTTCATACTCACTTAATACAGGAAATACCTGTAAGTGCAAAGTGGGTATTTGGACAGGCCCTTTTTGTCTTTTTTGATAGTTTCACTTGGATGGAAGTCACAATAGAAGACTGAAGAAAATACATGTTTAATTCTGTTACATCGCGACTAGGTTTAGTATGAGCAATAGCAGCTTTGGTATTCGAGACTAAGCATATCCCATCATGCATCACTTTTGCCGAGATGTCGCGGAAACCTTTCCAGTGCACGTTAAATATCAATAACAATTAGATATTACATATAATTTGGTAGTTAAATGTAAAATGTTGCACATTTTATTGGTCCAGACTGCAAAGATATGTATTTTGTTAAACGTGTGCAACTGCTCTTTTTCACTTAATTAGAAACACCACGATATAATTAAATTGTGTTATACATAGGGACTTCTGAGTAGACATTTAGAAGTTTATTTTAAAATGCAAATCAAAATAAAACTCTGTAAACACTTGCATCCCATCGGGTAATGAAAAGTTCTACACACACTTGTGGTCTTCATAGTCACTTAATACAGGAAATACCTGTAAGTGCAAAGACCGCAAATGTGGGTATTTGGACAGGCCCTTTTTGTCTTTTTTGATCGTTTCACTTGGATGGAAGTCACAATAGAAGACTGAAGAAAATACATGTTTAATTCTGTTACATCGCGACTAAGTTTAGTATGAGCAATAGCAGCTTTTTTTATATATATAGCAGAGCACATCAAGCAAGCAAAGAAAAAAACGTCTCTAGATTCCCAAACCCTTTAGAAGGTGAGTTAACAAGTAACTCTCAGGAGATGAATCTTTCTCGTTGACTCCACTGAGTCCCCAAAGGAAAGCACAATGTTTCTCCCCCTGGGGCTCTTGGGATGTGGTGTGTCTGCCTAGATGAAGAAAAACACTGGTTAAACACTTCCTAACACATGCTTTGGATCAGATTAAGCATTCAGGCCAGTACTGTGCAAATGATTGATCTATAAACTTCACACAATGGGTTTAGCAAAGGCTGATTAGCATTTTTGATGCTAGGATGCAGAAAGGTCAGGTCATTTGTTTACATAAGTGCCCCAAATACCTGGTTACTTGCTCTGGTTCTGACAAACAGCAGTTGAGCAATGCTATCTGTTGTTGGGTTACCTCAACCTCTGAAGGTCTCGCTATTACTCCAATCACATACATTTGCTCTGTGTGCTTTAGGTCGCCGAGTTGGCTGGCTACACGGCACGTGTGCACAACATGTTCTTGGTATTTGATGAAGTCCAGAGGGGAACATACAAACGTTCATCTGCCATCTCGACCGCAGGGGAGATGATAAGCGGGGATGATAACCGACCTGAGATGCACATCGATGGGCCTCTGGAAATCAAAGGTCTAATGAACATAGCGCGACTCTGCTGCTGTGTGCAACCTTAAAGTAATAATTCACCCAAAAATGAAAATTCTGTCATCATTTATTCACCTTCGTGTCCAGACCTGTCTTTTTGTCTTCTGTGGAACATTAAAACCCATAGAAGAAAGAAAGTCATACAGGTTTGGAACAGCATGTGCATAAATGATGGCAGTATTTTCTTTTTTGGGTGAGCTGTTCCTTTAATTGCTCAGTCATGCCCCCCAATGAATGAGTGACAAAATAATTTTCCTTGGAATGAAATAAAATTGTGAGATCATGTTAAGAGAAGTAGAGAGGATATTCATAAAACTTAATTGACACAGGAGACGCTTTCCACAAATATACTTAAAAATAGGCCCTGAAACATTTAAATATGAAGTAGTTATAATTGAGTTGGAAAAGGATTTTTTATTTTATATTGAAAAAAAAAAAATCTAAATTTGTTACCAGTTTATTTATTTATTTCTGTGGGGTTTTCAGGTTTTGCAAGCCTTTTACCAACTTTTAAGGCATGTCAAACCCTTTGGCAGTTTAGCAAATAAGTATTCCAATCAAATAGATCACATTTATAAAATAATGCTTAAAGGGATAGTTCACCCAAAAATGAAAATGTGATGTTTATCTGCTTACCCCCAGGGCATCCAAGATGTAGGTGACTTTGTTTCTTCAGTAGAACACAAACGAAGATTTTTAACACAAACCGTTGCAGTCTGTCGATCATATAATGGAAGTGGATGGGGATCACGGCTTTGAGAGTCAAAAAGACATACACAAAATTTGTGTTCTACTGAAGAAACAAAGTCACCTACATCTTGGATGCCCTGGGGGTAAGCAGATAAACATCACATTTTCATTTTTGGGTGAACTATCCCTTTAAGAAGAAAGTACAGAAAGGGCAACAGAGTTGCAAATTAAGTTATCAATAGCTAGTTTGGAATCAAATGGTAGTTTGTAGTTATTGACAAACTTATCTTACATTAATTAAAGAATTGTTTTATCTTTTTTTGTTTTATCTGAGTTAATTACTTGTTTTCCCACAGTGCTGCAGAAGGTTCATTTTATGTTTACATAATAGTTATATGGCAAACATACCTAATAGGTATCACACAATTGAATTAAATAATTAAATAAAATAACAACATGTGGCTTTAATGCATTACAAAGATATTTATGAGATACCAATGTGTACTGTATTTATGGAATGTGCCATAACTTTATAGTGAGAGATATTTATTCCTTGGTTTTATTACTGTAGATTCTAAAACTCTGTCTGATTGTATATATCTGTCCACTCTTTCTACAGGCAAAGTGATTGATGTGGATAAAGGTATAGTCTGTGAAAATGTGCCTATAATCACTCCTAATGGAGATGTGGTTGTATCCTCCTTGAATTTCAAGGTGAGTTAAACAAGAAGAATCATTTAACTTATATTACTACAAATTTGGACACAAATATACCATTTGCTATACACATATAATGATACTGTAGTGTAGATATATTTCTGGTGCTATCAGTCAAGATCATAGTTTTATATTTACACTTGCAACACAGGAACATGAAGTGTCCTAAACAAGTCAAGACAAGGCTATGAAGGGAATGTTGTTTGGCACTGTGCGCAGCAGAGTTTTGTTTTTTTATGGTTGCCAAGCTACGTGACAAATTGTTGCATTGATATAGAATTAAACTGGCGTCATCAATATCCATTTTATTGTATTAGTTCTGCTATTTAGATTTTTTTAGTAATATGAAGCTGTTTTTTATGAGTAATCATATATTTTGGTTTGCATCTATCAAGTTCCAAATAAACAGACAAATAACCAAGTGATTGTAAAGTACCACCACACTTTTTAAATTATAGAGTTTGAGCTCAAACTAAAATTATGGAGTTTAATTCAAAGTTATGTACTCCACCTTTTACTTAACCATGTGAACTGTACTCAGTTTCCTGTAACTGGATATTGTGTGCAGGTAGAGGAAGGGATGCATTTGCTGATCACAGGGCCAAATGGATGCGGGAAAAGTTCTCTGTTCCGGATCCTCAGTGGCCTCTGGCCCGTGTACGGCGGGCTTCTGTACAAACCCTCGCCTGAGCACATGTTTTACATCCCACAGAGGTACAGACAACACTTACCCATGGGATCTCACACACACCTGTACAGAATTAGCAGTACTACACTCTGACTTAACCCTGCTCTAGAGCAGAGTTTCATAACCCGCCCGGGTAAAAAAGTGGTGCTTCCAAAATACAAATGTGAAACAAACCTTTACCCGGGGTTAAGTGTAGTGTGAAAAGCCCTATACTGTATAGTATGCCAGCATTTTTATAAAAATGTAGAGAATTTCCGTCTGCTGCTAGGGATTCTTTTTGTAACCATGGATGCCTTTCATAACCACCTTTTTTTTTTGACAGAATATGGTTTGTGGAAATACAGTAAATAATTAAATGAAGAAATTATAATAGAAATCATATACACTTAAGTAGTGTTACATTCAAATCTGTTGCTAGTCATACAAAGATACAAATTAAATACACTTCTAAGTATAAAATTTATCTAAGAATAATATTTTTATACATTCATTTTTGTACTGAATTAAATACATGTATTAGTAATTTCACATATTAACATGAAACTTCTATTTTTTTTCAGTGTGTCACAATGCACATGTGTTCTCTGTAAAGGATACTGTATATGTGATTTTGCTTTTGATTTTGGCCAGACCAAGTTACCTTATTAGGCAGATAAGTTTTGCTTCCTTTGTAGCAGACTTTGTGGACCTACGAGGCATTAAAATGCATTTAGGTAGAAGGCCCACTAGGTTTCGGAACAGCTACTGTCCTCCGTCTCTGTTCCATATTGCAGACGTTGCACCGTCAGGATTTGACTGCAGTAACCAGAGGCAGAGACAGCGTAACTAAAGCTCTGTGAACTGCTGAGCGATAGAAACCAGAATCCTCAGTAGTGAAATATTTACCAATTCCTGCAGGTGCAAGCGCAGCCAGACCCAGGAAGGCCATTCATATTTTATACACAGGCCGTGGGTAGAGTAATAAGTAAATGCAGTTGTGCTTTTGTGCCTATCTATCTATCTATCTATCTATAATACCACACAACCTTAAACACTTCACCTGACATAATATGAGTAAATAACAGTAAACATGTTTGATCGTCTCTCCAGACCGTACATGTCCATCGGAACGTTACGGGACCAGGTCATCTACCCCGACTCTCTGGACGACATGCATGACAAGGGTTACAGAGACAAGGACCTGGAAGTTATTCTGGACATTGTCAATCTAAACCACATAGTTACCCGGGAAGGAGGTTTGTACATGTATAACTGCCTTTGTTGGATTTAGGAAGGGACCCATCAATTTATCTGCACAGACACAAACTAATCAGGTATAAATCAAATGGAACAGTAAGGCACTAAAATGGGCTTTGTAATTTTATATAACCTATATATATATATATATATATTAGGGTTGGGCCAATAGACGAGGCCATCGTCCATCGCCGATGGGCCAATGGCTGATAGACATCACGATGTTGAGCCGGCATCTTTCTGTCAATATGGGGTGCTGTGTGTACATTAATGAGGAAAAAAAATTAACTTAAATGATTTTAGCAAATGGCTGCAATATAACAAAGAGTGAAAAATTTAAGGGGGTCTGAATACTTTCCGTACCCACTGTATATATTTATTTATTTATTTATTTATTTATATATTCAAATTAGGTAGACGGCTAAATTATTTAGTAGATATTGAAAAAGTGTATGTTATACAATATAATACAACATGATTAAATATGCTTTTTTTATTGCACTAAATTAATGCATTAAAATGTACATCTCTCTCTGAAAGTACAGTAGTATTTATTTATATGAATGTAAATATTTGTTGAATAAATATTAATTAGTAGGGAATTGTAGTGAATGTGTTTGCATCATTGTTCTTAAAGGAACATTTTACCAGTTACTATGAACTAAAAATGCACGGAAAGCATTGTATATACATAAACTATATATTGGATTCATCAAATGATGTAACTTCATACTCTTCTCACCCGTTCGCAGGAAATACCACACACACCTGCTGCAGTTTGACGGGGAGGGCGGCTGGCGGTTCGAGCAGCTGGATACGGCCACGCGGCTCTCACTGACGGAGGAAAAGCAACGCTTGGAGTCTCAGCTCGCAGGCATCCCTAAGATGCAGCTCAGACTGAATGAACTGTGTAAGATCTTAGGCGAAGATTCAGTTCTAAAGACGGTGGAGAACAAGGATGAGGACTGAAAGAAACCCTGGGGATGCTTGATGTTCAGGAAAACTCATGTTTTGGTACTTTTAATATTTTAGTAATGATTTTAATATTTGATGTGTATACATGACAATTCGATACTGAAATTCAAGTTTAATAGGAATTGTAGAAACAGTTCCCTTTTGTTTTATTTATTTATTTATTTTTTGTTTTTATAGTTTAGTTTTCTTTTGCTGTTTGGTTTTACTTTGCTTTTAGTTTTTGTTGTTTTGTTTGACTTATTTATGTTATTTGTTTTTTAGTTTTGCTGTTTAGTTTTATTTAGCTTTTTATGTTTGTTGTTTTTGTTTTGCTTTTTTGTTTATGTTGTGGTTTTTGTTTTGTTTGTAATTTTCTTTTTATTTTGGTTATATGTTTTCAGCACTTTATTGAACCTATTACCCAAGAATTTAGCTGTGTAAATTATGTTGGCAAACAGTAAGTCTCGAATTATGTATTTTTCCTTTCATTGATTAACTCTTTCAGCTAATTATTATTTAGGTAGTGTAATTTAAAGGATGTATTGCTAATTTTTTATTGATATTTTAACTTAAACAACTTCCCTTCATATCCAAAATCAAAAATTTGGTATCCTGTGGTAACAACAATAGTGATTATTATGATTTTTAAATTTATTTTTTTAAACCATTTTGTAATGGAAAATCATGTAGGTCATTTACAAAACAACCTTTTACACAATCAACCTTTGAAGAACGCAGAAAGAGAAAATGAGATGAGACTGTCTATAGGTCATTGTGTGAGTCAGCTGGAGAGCTCTGGGTTTAAGACAGCAGGTTTCTGGTTTTCTGAACAAAAACAATGTTCTGGATACACACAGTGAGGGCACAGCACACAGCAGGTGGTTCTGTTGTGTCCACACTGAGCTGACAAACAGACAGAGAATGTGATTCTGGGTCACCAGACTAAGCGAGAATCATGTTCGTCATCATGTTTTAGATTTGTCTCTCAGTTCTACTGTTTCATGTCAAGTCGTATTATTTGGTTGTTTCAAAATGTATTGCACATTATGTCTTTTCATTCAGACTGATATACTGTGAAGTTTATCTAACAGCTGTGAACTGTTTATCTTTAATACAACATTGTTTCACTTTTTTTTTTTTTTTCATTCAAATACAGAATTGCATTTGCTTTTATTATTGTTTTGTTTGAAACCCTACTCGGTTGGAAGATTTCATTGACTAGTTCGCTAATCTTTGTGAGCAAATACAACAACTATGCTGGAATATATATTCTATTGCTACTTATGACATTATTACCTATGGAATATGCTGTCCAAGGCTGAAGAATAGTTTACTAGGACTTGGGCGAATGAAATTATAGGTTAAGTAAAAACACAGAGGCCTCTGCATAGTACTTGTAATGTACAAACAACAAAATTACTGCATTTTAAGAAACTACTGGAGAACAAAATTAACTTTAACTTGTTTGTATACCTCCTTGCCCATATGCTAGCTTGTTTTTTTTATCCAATCTTGAGTTTTTTTTTTTTTTTACATAGTTTAATTATATGTGATTGTGAACGAGTCTTGACTCTGTCAAGTATGTCAACAATATGTACAACAAACTGTAATAAAATCAGCCTGTAAATAAAATACAACCAAAAACATAGAAAGTTGATGATTTTGTGAAATCTATCTATCTATCTATCTATCTATCTATCTATCTATCTATCTATCTGTCTGTCTATCTATCTGTCTGTCTGTCTGTCTGTCTCTGTCTGTTATACATGCAGTACTGCGTGTGTCCAAAGGGAGGTGCTCGAGTATTCGAGAGGCTTTTGTTATGATCTTCAGGTTAAAATTGAATGTCATAGTCATAGTCATAGTCAAATCAAAAATGAGTCAAGACACCAGATATAATTTTTGATATTTTTTTTTACTAGTGGGTGCAGGACACTATAGTTAATTTATGTAAGTGAGGGTAGCAAAATAAAGTTAACTGTGACAAATTATACCCAAAATTTCTTCATACAGTGGACTACCAGTAAAACTGATACAAATTTGGGACCAAAAATTATTCAGACCGAGTCTGGGGGGAAAAAAAAAAATGAAGTTCAGGTTTGCATGAACCTGGATGACAGCATGCCCAGGAGACTACAGGCTGTCATTAAGGCTAAGGCTTGCCCGACTAAGTATTGATAGTTGTGTAAATATTGACAGCTGTATGAATAATTTTTGGTTTATTGTAATCCATTACATACCTTTCTATCAAAGTTATCTGACATTATCAAGCTGAATTTGTTCTGACACAGTTTAACACTGAGTTATTGTTATATTTTATTACCATGTTCTA